CTTTAATAAAATTTTAAATTTATAAAAAATAAATAATATTTTTAAAACAATCACTTTTTAAATCTGGTCAAACACCATTTGGGTGGATGGCTGGAAGCGACTTAATATTTCAGTAGATGACTTTTGACCCATTTGAAGTTTCTGAGAAGATTCATGTAGATCTTTTTTTGTGGTTGAAAGGGAAAGCTAACAACTGTGCCTTTTCCTTTTATGACTGGCGCTTAGATTCAAGTTTATGCGCAAAAAATGTAAGGTGATATTTAATGATCCGGCGATGAAGGACCCTTGTATTCCCTATTAGAAGTACATTTCATTTGCTGATAGCCAAAAAAAATCTTTGATATCATAAAAAAACGATTTAAAGTAAAACGCTCCGTGGTGTATTGTGTGCCTTATTTGAGTTGTTCCATAATTCCATTCCAGAGCGTAGTTTGGACTTTTGTTACGGCCACGTAAATAGTTTAGTAAGTATAATTAGTTTGGTTGATTTTATTTGTTTATAATTTTTTTTAAAATAATTAATTATAGTGTTTAAAAATATTAGTTTATAAGTTAATTATATTATTATAAATAATAAACATTAACTATTTGATCAAATGAGGTTATCATTATCAACTATTTATAATAGTTAAAAAAATATTTTATTTGACTTCAATAGAAAATTGTGTTGCAATAACTCTCTTTTGTTTCTAATTCTAATCTTTTCTATAAGTTGTTTATGATTATTTCTTGATTTTAATTATCATTTGATCATATAATATTTTCTTTATTTTATTTATTTTTAAGGATAAAATAGATAAAAATAGAAATTATTTCTTAATTTTTAATCTCAGAATTAAATTAAAAGAATCTATTATTCCGAGACATAAGAAGTAGTAACATATAAATATATATTTATATTTAGATCTCAATTAATGCATGGTTTTTTTTTTTTTTTTCGGGAGAGATATAGGTGCAGATAGATTTAGACTTCATGTTCACCCATTTGATGATCTGAGTTCA